TGCACGGTACATGCCCATGTTGGTGGAAAATGCATTCAGGGAGTATCTCAGCTAAGAGCCATAAAAACAGGAACCTTACATGGTCTCTAAGGAAGAGTGAAAGAAATCATCACATTTGGCTGTTCGTGATTCATTGCCCTCCCCAGCTCGTTTTCCAGGCAGGTCTTCTTGATGATCTTTATTAATTTGTCTCAGAGAATGAAAATGATCTGAGCAGTCCTTTCCATTTGATGGTTCTTTGTATGAGTGTTGCATGTTCATGAGTGCACAGTTGTAGGGGAGTGAATGTGCTTATGCGTGCATGTTGTCACCAGAAGTTGAAGTTGGTGGGCTTCTCTCCACCTTACATAGTGAGGCAGGACTATGGGTCATTAACCTGAAGGTTCTCCGGAGTCCCCCACCCCACCCCCACTATGCAGCCTTGGCTGGTCTGGAACTTGCTCTGTAGATCAGGCTCATTTCATCTTTATCCGTACTACTGCCTCTGCCTCCTGCCTCCCAAGCACTGGGATTGTAGATGTTCATCGCCTTGCCTACCTAAGTACCTCCTGTTTTAACACAGTTAGTAGTTTTTGCCTTAAATTGCACCTTTAGAGATTGAGAGATTCATTGTTTTTATTTAAAACTGCCTTCACATAAGTACAAACTTCACAGTTTGAAGTTGGAATTGGGCGTTCATAGAGCTAGCATTCATGGCATATGAATTGTCTTAGTTAGGGTTCCTATTGCTGTGAAGAGACACCATGCCCACGGCAATTCTTATAAAGGAAAACTTTTAGTTGAGGTAGCGGCTTACAGTTCAGAGGTTCAGTCCATTATCATCATGGCAGGGAGGATGGTGGCATGCAGGCAGATGTGGTGCTGGCTATATCATGATCAGAAGGCAACAGGAAATGGGCTATGTCACTGGGTAGTATCTTGAGCATAGGAAACCTCAAAGCCACCCCCCACAGTGACACATTTCCTCCAACAAGGCCATACCTCCACATTCAGACTACCACATGAGTTCATGTAAAATAAGGGCTCATTAACTTTTTATATGTTTGATGTTTTCCATGATAAACATGTTTATAATGTTTATATTCTTTTTAGCCCAATGACTTCATTTTTTACTATAAGGATATAGTCTGAAATAGAAATATTATCCATATTCATATTTGTTGCAGCACTATTGAACACTACTTTAACAACAAAAACATCAAAACAATAAACTAGTGAATGAGAGGGAGGGATTCTGTGCATTGTCATACACCACTGCTGTTTAAAAACTTCATAATGATGTGCCACTCTCATTCACTAAAGAGAGGAATTCCAAATAGTGTATGTGTCACAACTCCATATATGTAAAGCATTTAGTATGGAGGGAAAATGGACACATAAGGGACTGCAGAAAACTCTGGGTGTGGCATTTGGGAGGAAATACCTATGCATTGTGTTGTAGATCATAAGGAGAGCTACCCCAGGACTCTGCAGGCAAGTGAATGTGCCATTATACACACACACATGCTCCTCTATCTTAAAGTGGTTGTTATCCTGTCTGAAGTTGAACAAGCAGAGTCGCAAGTGACAATGGGCTGTCCTGGTGACACTTGCACAAATTATACAAAATTAAGTACTTTGGGATGAATTAATCATGTGAATACTATAAATCATTAAAAACTGCCATAACATAAAACAACATAAATGTTCATATTCAACATAATATTCAGCAAACAAAGGAAAGTGTGCTGTGTGGCCTCATCTTTAGAATGCTCACAAACAGGCAAGACATCATGTACAGTGATAGAAGGCAGAAGAGAGGTCAGGCTTAAAAGATGAGTCCTGGGACAGAGTACGGCGGCGCCTTCTGGAGTGCCAGGACCAGGCTGCCTTCAGCTCTGTGTGGTCTCCAGGGTGAGTATACACGTGTAAGTTTGAATACTCCACACACCTCTTAGGCATTTTATGTATATTGTATCTCTTCAGTGTTCCCATCGCTGCCTTATTCTGGCCCCTCAAATGCTGGCAACTAGACCTTCACTCTCCAGTAAGAAATGACAGGATCCTTTTCTACTGAACAGACAAGTTGTATGTGTTCTGTTCTAGCAAGAGACTATTCTGACAACTTACCAGTCTATGACATCAACAGTGCTGGACTGGGCTGGTTGAGTGGCATGTGGGCGTCTCCTGGACCACTTGCTTTCTCTAGTCATGCTCCTGTGGCTGCTGCAGCTGAGTGCAGGCTGGTGCCTTGAAGAAAAGCCTGCTGCTCTCAAACTGGTGGTTGGTGTGGTTTGTGGTGGGCACCTCAGGTTCCCTCCACATAGCCTCTCAACTTCCAAGTCTTTCTCTACATGTTAACAAGTTCCTTACACGGGGCTGTCCAGGTAGTGTCACACCCAACTCATTCCACTTGTCCATGCCAGTTAGAAAGCCAGCCCAGTTTCCATATCCCACCCCTGGATGGGAGGAGCGACAGAATGCTGGAGTGTGACCTGACATAATATGGAACCATGGGTGGCAGAGCAGGGGCCAGCCCAGCCTTCCTAACCTCTACAAGGTGGTTCATCTGTTTCAGAAAAGGGCCTGAAATATGTCTACCCCCTCAAGCCTTCCTATTCTTCATAATTGCAGATACCACATAAAGCCACAACTTTCAACACCATTTCAGTCATGGGCAGTGTAAAAATGGCATGATGGGCCCTCTAATGAAATTCACAGTGGAGTTTTGGAGCCACTGTGGAGCCCTCAGCTCCATCAGAGACACGTCACCTATCCATGTTTCATAGGAGTGGGTCTCCATCTCCTAATCACTGGTGTGGACCCCAGTGGGCAAGGAGACGACAAGAGAATCAGCATCAGCAACTGACATCTCAGGGAGCCTGGAGGCGGCCTTGCTTTAATAGAGGCGTGTCCCGAGGTGCATGCATGGTCCTGAGGTGGTCATTCACTGAAAGCATAGGAGCATTTGGTGCTTAGACACTCTTAAGTACAACAAGATCTATCCCCCACCTACCTGTGCACAGAGTTACCAAATGTTTCTGTGCCCCACTCTTAAGTAGGATCCTTTAGCCACATCTGTGGCTGTCTAAAGAAAATTTCTACAAAAGACAAGCTAGGCATGGTGGTGCACGCCTATAATCCCAGTAGAGGCAGGAGGATGAATTCAAGGCCAGCCTCAGCTATTTGAGAATCTATACTTGAAGGCCATTGCATCCATGAAACAGGAACAGGATTTTGTATAAGAATGAACATTCTTACAGATGTTCAGAAGTTATGGGAAGATTCGCAAGGCCTAAGAGAAGAGTTTGGCTAGCCAACAAAGAGTTAAATCAATAATTTTATTATTTATTTATTTATTTTGGTTTTTTTGAGACAGGGTTTCTCTGTGTAACATCCCTGACTGACCTGGAACTTACTCTGTAGATCAGGCTGGCCTCAAACTCAGATCTGCCTGCCTCTGCCTCTCAAGTGCTGGGATTAAAGGTGTGTGCCACCACCGCCTGGTGAGTTAACCAAAATTTAAGAAGGAAGAAATAAAAAGCAGTGATAAAAAAGAATGGGTAGAGTTAGAGCATAGTTACAGATAGCAGAAGACATGACAATCCTGGGGCTGTGTAAACTTCAGTAATGGTTAAATTCACTTGGGAACCCAAGCAAGCCACATTCCAGGGCCACAGTGATATCAACTTGACACTGTCTAGGAGAGAAGGGTCTTCTAAGTTGTCCTGTGAGGACCTTGCTTCTGTTGACGGAGATGGGAAGATCCTTGTGCTAAGGATTGCACCATTCTCTGGGCCCAGGATCCTGAACTGTGTGAGTGGAGAACCAGGGCTGACTATAAGCACACACGTGTTGTTTCATTCCTGTTTCTTGACTGTAGATGCAATGTGACCACGTCTCAAGTTCCTGCACTATGACTTCCTCGCTATGACAGACTGTAACCTGGAACCATGGGCTAACATAAACTTTTCTTCCCTGAGTTGGTTTTGTGAAGGCATTTTGTACAGCAGCAGAAACAAAACAAGGCAGACCCATATTCTAAAATTTAACCTTAATTGTAGGAACACACAGTGTATTTTTTTTAACACGTTTCCCAAGATTGATCTTCCATGGGAACCTGCCTTGGATCCAAGTGAAAACACAATACTATTTGACTTAGGTGTTTCTGCACTTACTATTAGATTTACAAGAGATTGCTCCACTCCTTTAGTATATAATCCCACGTGTTAATTGTGAGTTTTTATTGTACCCACTACCAGGCTTGTGGGATGAGAGACTCCTTTTTCCAGGCAGTATTTTGAGGGAAGGAGAGTAGGACGTAGCATTTTTCTTGGCTACCACCCATTATCCTTAAAAATAATATTATGACATAACCAAACTCGGGTTTTTTTGGGGGAGGGGTTCCAGACAATTTCTCTGTGTAGCCCTGGCTGCCCTGGGACTCGATATGTAGACCAGGCTGGCCTTGAACTCACAGAAATCTGCCTACCTGTGCCTCCCAAGTGGTAGGACTAAAGGCATGTGCCACCACCGCCCGGCTTTTTTTTTTTAAATATAAATAGATTTACATTTTTGTGTATGACTTCCCTGATTGTCTTCTCGATATGAATGTGCACCTCATGCGTGCTTGTGGTTGTCAGAAGAAGGGAGCTGGATTGCCAGAAGCTGTGAGCCACCATGTGGTTGCTGGGAACCGAACACAGGTCCTTTGCAAGAGCAACAAATGTTCTTAACTGCTGAACCATCTCTTCAACCCCAGGGGTTTATTTTTAAATGCTTTTCTTGCCCGGAAAGGGAGGGTGTTCTCGGGATCTGTCCGCGGTGCTGAGAGCGGTTGCCCGCTTCCAACCTTGGGCATGCCCTACAAAACAGGCCTCAGGGCCCACCCTCGAGCCGGCTTCCCTCGCTGATCTCTCTTCCAGCTTCTCTCCTCCGTACAAGACCCAGGGAGGGCGGCACCGGGCGGCTGATGATCTCGCGCTGGGCCTCCCTCTCCCGGGTGGGCCCCCCGGCAGGCGGGCGGCGACTGGGGCCTCGGGTGGCGTGGTGGCGCCGGCGCCTCCGTGCGCGCCCCCTCCCCAGCTCCGGGCCTCTGCTCCTCCCCCTGCCCGGTCCCGCCCAAGTGCGCCTGAAGCCCGTGCCGGGAGCAGGCGGTGGAGAGGGGACGAGGACGGCGATCGGGAGGGCGGAGCTCAGCGCAGCGCGGCGCGGGCATGGACGCGGAGTACCCTGCCTTCGAGCCGCCCCTCTGCAGCGGCCTCAAGCAGCTGTGCCAGCGGCTGCAGGAGGCGTACCGCGAGCTCAAGGAGGACCTGGCGCCGTTCAAGGATGACCGCTACTACAGGTAGGTGCGGAGGGCCCCAGCCCCGTGTCCTCGCCGCCGCCGCCGCCGCCGCCGCGCCCCAGCCCCGGAACGCTGAGCCCGGGACAGGGCAAGGGCTGCTGGCTGCTGCGCGCTCGACTCGGGGTCAAGGGCGGCCCCAGGCGGCCTGGTCCTGGATCCTTCTCCATCCCAGAACCCTGAGCGGGGAGGCTAGCCTTAGGAGGACTGGGCTTTCGTCCCTGCTCGGCTCCTCCCTCATGTTCCTGTCTCCCATGCCTGCTGCCTAGCTATCGCCACAGGGGCCCTGGCCAAGCTCTGCTTTGGGGAGCCGCCGCCCTCCCCTACACACACACACACACACACACACACACACACACACACACACACACACACACACACGCGCAAGCACGAGCTTCCTGAAGCAGGGTAGGCCTTCGCCTCTGTGCTGGAGTGCTCAGGCCTAGGCACATGGTCCCAAGCTCCAGCTTCTTCCCTTTCCAGAGAAGATGCTTGTAGCAGCCACATAGGAGCTGTGGATGTGGGTTTGTTTGAGCTCCTTCTGCTCCCTCACCTGCAGTGGAAGCCAGAGCAGTGGAGCCTGTGGATGCTTGCTGAAGGGCACCCTTCCCTTCCTCCTTTGTGCCGTGCTTTCTGGTGGGGAAGTGTGTCTGTGGCCAAAGGCCTTGCATACCTAATGCATGGAGCTGGAGGGAAAGGACTGGGTCCAGAGGCACGGGCCTAGGTTGATGGTGTTACTGAGTAGCTGTGTGAGCTGGGAGTAGGGGGTGGCATGCTGTATGCTGGGCTAATAGTTAGACTGTTCACCAAAAGTAAATCTCGAAAGCCCAGCCAGTGGCTTCCTGGGGCTGTATCCTGGCCATGAGAGTTATTACTGAACGGAAAGGCCATTTTTAAAAAATTCTGTGTGGGCCGGGCGGTGGTGGCGCACGCCTTTAATCCCAGCACTCAGGAGGCAGAGCCAGGCGGATCTCTGTGAGTTCGAGGCCAGCCTGGTCTCCAAAGCGAGTTCCAGGAAAGGCGCAAAGCTACACAGAGAAACCCTGTTTCGAAAAACCCAAAAAAAAAAAAAAAAAAAAAAAAAAAAAAAAATGCAGTGTGGGCAGGTGAGGGGACTCAGCGGGTAAAGCCCCTTGCCACACAAGCCTGACGACCTGAGTTTGCTCCTCAAACCTGTGTAAAGGTGGAAGGAGAGAACCAACTCCAAACGGTACCCTCTCACCTCCGCAAGCATGCTGTGGCACACATGTGCCTGCACGTCACACATCATACACGTGCACACACATATCATAGTGAAATTTTAAAATATTTTGTAGTGTAGTGATGGTGTGCCGAGACCCCGTGAACCCCATAATCTCTCTAATGAAACCTCCTGGGACACCTGGCAGGTAAAGGAGCTTGTGGACATTTTAAATTACATTGTTGAAATAAGATAATCTCCCATCTCTTTTCCTGTGTGTTTCCCACCATTCCATTCAGTGTCCACTGAGAACATTTCTTTGGTAAAACAGCCGGCAAATAAGGGCATGGTCTCCATGCAGGTAGCAGAAAAGAGAATAAGACACACACGTGGTTAATCCGCAAGTGGGTCATTCTCTCCATACATTCAGCTGTCACTGAGTATCTCCCACGGCTTTTCTACATGTGGGGGATGTGTCTGTGAGCAAGAAAGACTTAGGACTAAATTGAGGCGCCCACAGAAAGGGGATTTCATGCTGCCATGAAAGTAAGCAAGGCAGACCAGGAGACACAGTGTAGCGGGAAGGTACTGTGTCAGATCAGGTGGTCAGAAAGACTCTAAGAAGAGCGAGAAGCTTACTAGATGGGGCATCATGGACGAAAATTACAGTAGAGGAAGGAGGGGGTACCAAGTCCCTGGAGCCGTAGAAACATGACCTGTTCAAGGCGCAGACGAAGACAAGCGGGTACTGAACACCTTAGAGCGAGGTCGGGTAGAGGAGAGCCTTGACCTCAGGAACTACAACCAACAACCCACCCTGGCAAAGGCAGCTGGAGGGGAAGAGTTCATGATGGCGGGGAAGCCAGAGTGTCATGGCCTCAAAGCGGATGTTCACATCATAGCCATAGTCAAACAACAGATAGATGATGGATGCACAGCAGCCTTTCTCCATTTATACGGTCTAGGGAATGGTACTGCCCACAGTGGGCACAGGTCCCTACCTCAATCAATACACCACCACCACCTCCACCACACACACAGGCATGTCCAGGGGTCCATCTCGCAGATGATTCTAAATTCTGTCAAGGTGACAGTCAACACCAACTGTCCACGCCAGTGAATACAGATTGCATGAGAACAGCAATGTGAAGTCACTAGGGTCACTGGGGAAGTGACAAGCAGTTTGGCTGCCTGCCCTATAGCAAGCGTGTGGATCTTTGTTATTTGAGTTAGATTCTGAAGACAGATTTGCCATAGTTGGAAAGGGGCAGAGGTTAAATCTGCCCCCTGCCATGAGGGCAGGTGGACAGCAGGGTGCTTTATGCTGTCTTGTGTAGCAAAGTACTTCGCAGAGAACCACAGAGACTTCTGTAGCAGGGAAGTGTTTTATTGGGTCACTGAACTAGCCTCGGGCGCTCCACTGGATTTCTACATCAGTGGGTCATTCCTTCGCACCCCAGCTGGAATGCTCTGGTTACAGTTGCAGCTGCTGGGGCGGCTTCACCAGACAGCGGACTTGCTACTACTCAGTTGGCAGCTCCTCTCCTCACTGTCCTTGTTTCCTCAGTCATGACTAATGCTAACGCACGCTGGCCCTCCCCACCCCACCCCCAGGACCAGGGACTAACCTCACGTGGTTGACAGTTTTCTCTAACAGGGTAAGGCAACGAGCACAACTGTTAATGACTTGTCTCCCAAAGATGGCTGTCCCCTCCATCAGCTGGCGTCCGTGTGTGCCCATCAATTACAAACTTACAAAATCTGCCCCTAGAGGAAGCTGCAGCCATGTGATCAGAATGAGAGGTGACAGTTGTGCTCCTTGCCAAGAAAGGGAAAGTGGGAAGGCTGTAAACTGGGGAGCTGAAATCCTGGGTTCTAGGCTCAATTCAGCCCTTCAAGAACTCCCTGAATTTAGAGGAATCACTGAATTTTACCATAGAATTGCATCAGAAAAATGAAGCCCCTGGCTGCCACCTTCACCAAGATGTTCCATGTGAAGATAACCCAGAGATGTACTCAGCCAGAGATGACAACCACCATCACAAGAGATGTACTCAGCCAGAGATGACAACTACCACCACAAGAGATGTACTCAGCCAGAGATAACAACCACCATCACAAGAGATGTATTCATCCAGAGATAACAACCACCACCACAAGAGATGTACTCATCTAGAGATGACAGCCACCACCACAAGAGATGTACTCAGCCAGAGATGACAGCCACCACCACAAGAGATGTACTCAGCCAGAGATGACAGCCACCACCACAAGAGATGTACTCAGTCAGAGATGACAGCCACCACCACAAGAGATGTACTCAGCCAGAGATGACAGCCACCATCACAAGAGATGTACTCAGCCAGAGATGACAGCCACCACCACAAGAGATGTACTCAGCCAGAGATAACAACCACCACCACAAGAGATGTACTCATCCAGAGATGACAGCCACCACCACAAGAGATGTACTCAGTCAGAGATGACAGCCACCACCACAAGAGATGTACTCAGCCAGAGATAACAACCACCATCACAAGAGATGTACTCATCCAGAGATAACAACCACAAGATATGTATTCAGCCAGAGAAGGTGACAGCCACCACAAGAGATGTACTCAGTCAGAGATGACAGCCACCACCACAAGTCAGCCTGACCAGTGAGGCCAGGCCGCATTGTTAGTCTAACAGATTAAGGAGGTAACTGAGTGCTTTTTAACTTGGTAGCAGTTTACTGCCATGGGGGTTACTAGCCATTTGGACCTTTACTTCTCATTCATATTCATGGGGAAAAGTGGTTGGCTTTCCGTCAGTGAAGCTCTTCAAAAGAGAAGGGATAGCCTTAAGTCCAACCATTCCCCAGCAATGGCATCAGTGGAGAAGCCAGATCTGTTGACCAGGATGAGGTGCAAGTGGGTGTCATCTCTGCAGAAAATTGTTGGCGTCTGCAAAGGCTGTGCGTACACTTACCCGCTGTTTCCTCTCGAGTGTGGTGTCTCCTGCAGGGACACAGACAGGAACCCATCAAGAGACAAAAAGCTGCTCTTATCTTACACTGACATCAGTACAGTATAATGTTTCTAAGTGGAGGCCAACCAAATATTCATCTGCAGTAGAAGAGGTGAAGGCATTGCACTTACTCCATACTTAAATATTATATGGTGGTAAACACTTCTCAGCTGCACATAGCAAGGATCTCACAACTAGAGACTCTCCCCAGTTTCTTAGTATCTCTTAAGGGCCTCCAACCGAAGAGACAACTGCTCCTGAACCCCAAGTGTCACCCAGGAAAGTTGGCTACCTGTGCCTCTTTCCATCACCATCTGCACACACACCCTGCCCCTGCCAGGTTCCCAGTGAATGTCTAAGCACATGCCATGTGGGTCCTTCTAGACCTTGCCCTGTATTCTGAGGCTCTGACCCTGAGGTGGGACCTACTTAGAACTCCTGTCCTCTACTACAGTGACTCCTGTGCCTCATTCGCCCTCTTCGCCTCTGTATGACTTCACAGACTCTCTGGCAAGGTCTCCTTGTTACTGTGTGAATGAAAGTGGTCCCTTCATTTGCTTCAAGCAAACAGGATCATCAAACACCTTGTCGGAGGAATCAAACCCCCTGTAAGAGGGCCTGGGGATGCTCCTGTGTGTGTGAGTTGTACGTGTTACAGAGGGACTTTATACAGGGTGGCTGTGTGAATCGAGGAGGGTTTCAGTATTAGAACCAGGCACTAAGAACTCTTATCACCTGTCCGGCAGCTTCCAGATCAAAGTGAGAGGCTGGGCAGAGGTTCCCTGAAGCTAGAGGTGGAACAGGATCCTTAGTA